AAGTCCCGGTCCTGAGCTAGTTCCCTGTGCCTCTGCACCCAACAGGACAGGGCAGGCCTAGGAGCTCAACAGGTGGGGGAAGGGGTGCCAGCTCTGTGCGTGAGGTGGGAGAGACCGTTCCTCACCACCAGCCCACACAGTTTAGTCATGGACAGGGTCTTTCCTTAAAGCCTTTCCAGAGAACAGAGGGCCCCTCAAAGTCACTGCTGGGTGTGAAACCCAAGTATGGCCGAGTCCAGAGCCAACTCCAGGCTGGTGCTGCAGCAATGGGAGCGCTCCTTCCCTAGGCTGGTCGGTCGGAGTCTCCCAGGGGGACAGGATCCCCACTGATTCCCACCACCTGCTGTACATGGGCTCCACTCCTGTCTCTGTTGCTCTGGGTTGGGGATCCCTGCGTGGGCTTGAGACCCCACATTCCTAGGGGGGAGGGAGTTTTGCAGCTGTGCTGTCCCTGAGGCTTCTCAGCTGTCCCCGCATGAGGGGGATCTCCCTTTCCGCTTCTCCACCCCTCTTACCAGTCTCTACCTGGCTTTTCCTGTGCTCCTTGGTTCTACTATTTCAGCTCAGCTGTAGTTTAGTTTGTTTTTCAAGTGGATTGCTCTGTAATTTAGCTGTAAATCCGGTCTGACTCTGGAAGCAAGCGACACAGCTTCCAGCTACTCTGCAGTTATCCTGGAATCCCAGCTACTCTCATTTGCTTATTTGACAAACGGACGAAAAGAGGTCAGTGCCCCTGACTCAATAGTCAGGTATTGCATGTTTTAAAAGTTCTTGCAGTGCACTGTTTGACAGTTGCTGCCCTATAGCAAGCATGTCAAACTCATGGCTGACATGTTACATACCTGGTTTACCTATTAAAAGAGGCCTGCAGCCTGCAGGCCATGAGTTTGACAAGCTTGCCCTACAGAAGTGGTTCTCAATCTGTGGGTCGCAATCCCTTCGGTGGTCGAATGACCCTTTCACAGGGGTCGCCTAAGACCATCCTGCATATCAGATATTTACGTTACGATTCATAACAGTAGCAACATTACAGTTATGAAGTAGCAACGAAAATAATTTTATGGTTGGGTCACAACATGAGGAACTGTATTTAATGGGCCAGAAGGTTGAGAACCACTGCCCTACAGTCTAGCACTGATAAGAAAGGTAACAGGTCTGCTGAGCTGCAGTTTCAGCAATGATGTGGGCAAGCATGTGGGAAACCAAACATCAAGGCTGCAGCTCAGCTCTGACAAAAGTACAGCTACTGAAGTCCATGAGGGGCTGCAGGTAATGCTGAGGCTGCAGCATAGCCTCAGTGCCCAGACACCTAAGAAACCCTGTGATCTTCCTAGACCTCATCTTTCACACAGGGAGGTTCAGTGGTCATCTGCATGAAAGCCATTGTCATCGTCATTTGAGATCTGACTCTTCTCACCTCTGTTGGTGTAACTGAAGAAGGCAAAGGTTATCATTGTAACAGGGGTGTCTGGGTTGGGTCATAAATAAAATTAGAGTCGGTTGTAATGTGGAGTTAGACAAAGGAAACTCTATAGTTTATGTTACAGCAGGATCCCATGGCATTGAGATGGAGTACTTAATAGGCTAAGAGGTAGCAGTTAATAGAAGCTAAGTTGCAAACAGAGAAAACATATAGAGCTTCTGAAATAAAAGTCACCGTAAATAGGAGTTTGTCTAGCTATGAGGATACGACTTGTCAGGAAGGCTCTGTGGGGATTGGGGAGCAATGGTTCAGTTCAGCCTGCAGGCTGATCCAGATCTCTGGGAGGCACATGAACATCTTAAAATGAGGATGTTAATAATGAAAGAATTTTATCATTTGGGGCACAAGTGGCTCTACTATGAGATCCTCCTTCAAAAAATTGCATTATGGGAAACAAAACCCTCTCGTACCAGCTGAGGAAACTGGCATTATAGCCTCTACAACACACAAGGAGATGCCACAGCAGCAACAACACCCAGGAGCAATTGGCACCACCAATGGAGTGGCCAAAGGAGAGCATTGCAGGCATAGGCAGCTGGTGTGTGGACCTAGGCCAGGGATGGAGAACCTTTTGAGCTCCACGTGTCAGCATTTTGAAAAACCCTAACTTAACTCTGGTGCTGTGTCACATATAGAAATTTTTTTAAATTTGCAACCATAGTAAAACAAAGATTTATATTTTTGATATTTATTTTATATATTTAAATGCCATTTAACAAAGAAAAATCAACCAAAAAAATGAGTACGCGTGTCACCTCTGACATGCGTGTCATAGGTTCACCATCACTGACCTAGGCAAAGGCTTGATGCAAGAGGTGAAGTCACAGGGATCTAGACGGAAGCAGAGATGACAGCAACAGCAGTAGGGCAGGCAGCTGCCCCATGGCCACTGGAAGTGAGAGTTTCCTGGGGGATGCCCGCAATAGAGTATCAGGGTCTCAGGGGTCCAAACTGCTTCCTAGAGCAATACACAGAGGAAACACCAGCTAAGGAAGTGGAGAGATGACGGCAAGGATGTAAGGACATCCATCCCATAAAAAGCAAGTGAGGGGCTCTCCAACATCTAGACCAGGAAGGTAAGGAGTGACCTCTGCAGGTGGCAGCTCCCCTGCCACTGTCCTCACAGAATGCTGCAGCCTCTGCAACCCCTCTAGCTCCTCCACCCCTGCCCAGAAATGCCAAGAAGCTCCCAGCTCTTTCCCACTATCTGGGTAGTAATGTTGAGGTGAAGGACAAAGAGAAGTTGGCATAGCAAGCCCTGCTGTTGAAATATACAAATGCATATGCTTTTACAATAGTTGTAGGTTATTGTGAACTTGCTTCCTCATCTGCTCCTCAGTCTGCATCCCTGCCTTTGGTCTTCTCAGGAACTCATATTCGTGGAAATCTGTAAAATCCAGACATTGATGATGCCGCTGAACTCACAGAGCTCAGTGAGATACAGATGAGGTCATGCACTGAGGGTGCTCTGTAAACTCTAAGGTGACATGTGTTTAGTGTTGGGAAAGTTTCCAGAACCCAGATGGGGTGAATGTGAGTGAGTCAACAAGGAAGAAAATTGTCCAAAGAAGTTCTTAAAAGACCAACACCAGGTGGCTCAGATTGCAGGGCAGCATAAATAGCCCGAGCCTGTGAGCCAAGGAAGCGCTCATCGCCTGGGCACTGGAGGACGCAATGGTGAGTGTCTGTGCCAGCCTCTCTTTTTGTTTTCTCTGTGTCCAGTGAATGTCCCAGGTCCATTTGGGGTGCTCTAATGTACTGGTGTTGAGGAAGACAGGGTCTATGTAGCTCTTCTGCTCTCGAAGGTGTGGGTGTGGGTGTGGGTATGAGAGGGCAGCATAGTGGGGGAAGAAGGACCATTCTTTGGCCCCTCACTCTGCTTCCTTTACTCAGTGGGAGATTAGCCTTCTGGGCTGGGGGAGGGTGGGTGAGTGGGATATGACACCCACCCGGACCCCAGATGCCACTGTCAGGAAGCCTCAGGTGGGCATGAAATTTCAACTTCTCGCTTGGCTCTCTCCACCCCTGATTTCTTCAGAAAGGAAGTTGGATGAGGAGAAACAGCCCTGGCATTCCCAGGCCCGGGTCAAAGTTGATCCTTTGCCCATTTTACATGGATAAACTGCCCATTTTACATGGATAAACATGGTTTTCTCTTAGCTTCAAATGTTTGTTTTAAAAATACACTTACTGGACGAGTTTACTGATTTCCAATCAATTTTTAGAGGAGTCATTTTTCAATAATATTTTAGTCTGACATTGAGGCATAAAGTGAACACTATGTGGTTTAAGGGGATGTGGCTCTGCCCAATACCACTATAGGCCCAGCGAAGAGGCCTCATCCCAGTCCTAGGTCTGCAACCCTGTGAGGGGGCTCCTGCCCAGGGCCCTTTCTCCTACAATGACCTGTGGTGCCTTCTGTGCCATCTTGAGCTGTTGGGCAGAATGCCTGTGGCTTTTCATTCTCCCCCAGATGTGGGCACAGGGCCCTTGATGTGGCAGCTGCACACCAGGGGGCAATGCCCTGGCTCTGGCTGGAGCCTTTGTTGCTCGTGGCAGAGCCTCTGCCCCAGCAAGTGCCACGCTGCTGGCCTGTGAGCTTGCCTGGTGTTTAGAGACTCCCATGGTGCCCGAGGAAGTGGTAAACTCAGAATGAGAAAGAACTGGTGCCAACAGGGTCCTCCGCAGCCCAGAACCACCAGCAGGTGGAGAAGAAAGCACTTCTGTGGCCAGGAAGGCCCTCCACTGCCTCCCCCTCAGGCTGCCTGGCGATCCCTTCTCCTTTGCTCTGTCCCTCAGGCTTGTTCCCAGCCTCTGCCACTCCCGTGTGCGCTTTCCTGGCTCCTAACTTTACGGTTTCTCTCAAGAGGAAAGAAGCCCATCATTGGGAGTGACCAGGTCCTGCACCCACCCTGACCTCACTTAGCTGTAGAGTCCCTCTCACATGTCACTGGACACCCTATTGAACATCTGTTTTTTCCCCACCTGAAACCACCATTTCCTGACGGAGCTCACCTCACATGCCCTCCTCCACGAGGCCCCTCTCCCAAGTCGTCCCAGGTGTAGGGGTAGCACTCTAGGCGTCCCAGGGTCTCTCCGGCTATTCTGAGAACTTTTTCTGGTTTCCATCTGGAACTTTCTTCATGGAGACAGCATCTAGTCCAGAAATGGCAGGCCACTTGGCAAACATGTAGCCATGTGCCCATCTTGTGTTAGGACAGATGTCACTGAGCATTCTGGCTCTTTCCAGACAAGCACTGAAACCACCAGTGCTGGTCCATCCAAGGCTACAAGTGACAGGAAATGAGTTTGCCCGGCCACCTTGTCGATACAGACAGAGAGACAGAGGTTCAAAGAGGGAACAGTCCTGCCCAAAGGCACTTCATGAGTCCTTCCTGATGTGACAGGTGGCATCAGTGAGGAGTTCACATCCTAGCCGTGCCAATGGCAGTGAAAGGGAAGTCACTAGAAGGGACAAAATGGGGCATCTGAGAAGAGGTAGATGTTGCTGATAACCATGTCAGAGTTCAGCTGGGTAACTCATGCCCTCCCAGGCCAGACTGTATGGCCGCCTTGTCCTAAATTGCTTTCGGAATCCTGCTGCTCCTGATCCCACAGAAGGGGTGAGGTGGTAGGAAAGTGCCTCTCTGACTTCCGGGCGCTGGGTTAAGTAATAGCCCATGTTCTGGAACGAAGATACGTTCTTTCTCTTTCTGTCCACCCCTGAAGGCCCTGCTTCTCCTCTCCATGCTGGTCCTGCTCACACAGCCTTCAAGGTCATGGGGAGCAGAGGTGAAGAGCCTTTCCCAGAAACCTTTGATTGATGACTGCACCCTGGTGATGTGTAACCCTGTGGAGAAAAGCCTGCCTGGTCATGATGGACGAGATGGGAAAAAGGGCCCCCGAGGCGAGAAGGGGGATCCAGGTAGAGCTGGGACCGTGGGCTTGTCCTGGTGGGCATGGGTGGGCACTGGAATTGTAATCAACTCAGCAAGTCTGGATGTTCTGCCGTGGAAGCCCTGGAAATGGAAGCCCACCTCCTTGGGAAGAAGTCCCCTAGACATTCAGTCCACCTAAAGCACCTCGTTACCAGTTGGCAAATGACAGGCTGCCCTGAGCCCGGAGGTGTTATTCCCCTCCCCTAGTTGTCAGGATTCCTCCCCTAGGATCTTCTGATTCTTCTCACCCCAACAATGAGCAAATTGTGGGTAAATGCCTGGTCTTCGGGGCCCTCTAGAACCAAGCTGCGGCATTTATAATTGTTCATTGTGGTTGAATGATTTCTGTGCAGTGTGTTAATATCTAACTAAATTCTACTACATGAGAGGTGGGCAAAGATGAGGCCCTGTGGCCCCACACTCAGGCCTGATCTAAAGGATTTCCCTAAATGCACTACAGAGAGGAAGAAAGGGAGCTTATATTTTATAACTGGACATTTGTAGCTTTTGACCTTCACCCGTTTTGCCCACCACCCAGCTCCCATCTTACGCAACCACCAATAATCTGATAGCCACATTTATGAGTTCAGATTCTTTGTTTTGTTTCTTAGAATCCAGATATAAGTGAGATAACACTGTCTCTGTCCTAATTTGTATGACTTATGGCACTTAGCATAATTTCTTCAAGATCCATTCATGTTGAGGCAAAGGGTAGGATTTTTTTTATGGCTGAATAATATTCCTGTGTGTGTGTGTGTGTGTGTGTGTGTGTGTGTGTGTGTGTGTGACATTTTTATTCATTCATCCATTGTGGACACTGTTCGGTTGTTTCCATCTGTTGGCTACTGTAAAAATGTTGGAATGAACTTGAGGGTACAGACATCTTTTCAAATTAGTGTTTTATTTCCTTTGGATAAAACCCAGAAGTGGTATTGCTGGATCATACTTTTTAAAGAAATTATATTTTTAATGTCTTAAGGAAACTCCATATTGGTCTCCACAGTGGCTGCACCATTTTACAATCCCACCAACAGTGCACAAGGGTTCTTCTTCTCCTCATCCTCACCAACACTTGTGATCTTTTGTTTCTTATAGTTGCCATTCTAGGAGGGGTGAGAAAATATCTCGTGGGTTTGATTTGCATTTCCCTGGTGACTCATGTCAGGGATCATTTCTGATATAAAGTTTGGTCCTAGGAAGGGGAAAGCAAGGAGTCCATGATCCAGGAGAAAAGCTAGCAGATCCCCTGCTGTAATCCTGCAGCCTCAGGGCATGGAGGGTGCACTGCATGGAAATACGACAGTTCTTGGCTTCATGTCCCCGTAACAGGTCTGGCAGGCCTGTTGCCTCGCCTGTGAAATGGGGATGTGCACACCCGTCTCCTGGGTCACCACTGGACTGACGAGTGTGGAGATGGAATGTTTACACCTGCGGAACCTGAAGGAATGCAGGGCTAACCTGCAGGTGCTGCTCCTCCTAGGCCCAGGGCCAGGTTTATGCCCATTTCTTCTGCTGCTGCAGGTTCACCAGGAGCTACATGGCCAATGGGGATGTCTGGGCCTGTTGGCCCAGTTGGACCCAAAGGAGACAACGGTCCTGCTGGAGAACCTGGACCGAAGGGAGACTCGGGGCCACGTGGTGAGCAGTGGGCGTGGACTGCAATGCCTGCCACTAGGCCATGCTGGAGGATGCACATACCCATCGCAGGAAGGAGGGTGCCCTGCGGGTGGCGCTGGGTTCACGCATGGAAGGCTGTAGTACTGCTGGGCGGCGTCTGTAGGATGATGCTGTTCTCTGACCTCTATGACTGCTCTCACCTTCTCACGCTCTCCCCCTTCTGAGAAGACTCAGTGCACTGACTGGCTGGTCCTTTTCCCAGGACCTCCGGGACCTCCAGGTGTGCCCGGGCCGGCTGGACCAGAGGGTCCCTCAGGAATGCCAGGGAATGTAGGACCCCAAGGAGAATCAGGCCCCAAAGGAGAGCCTGGGCCCAAAGGTAGGAGGTTGGTGTGTGGAGGTCTGAAGGGAGAGGGAGGAGTGACAGTGGCAACCCATGATGTGACCTAAAGATGCTCAGCATGCCAGGGAAGCCAGGCCATCCCCACTGGCAGGGCTTGCTGTGATCCCTGCCCCCCAAGCCCCACATCTGGAGGACCAGACAGTGGGGTGCACAGCCGCCCAGTTCTCCTTCTCCACGTGGAGCCGAGGAAATGATCCCGGCTGCACACACTCTCAGCAGCCTTTGTCCCAATCTGTTCCTTCCTCAGGAGAAGTGGGTGCCCCAGGGGTGCAGGGCTCTGCAGGGACAAGAGGCCCCCCAGGTCCCAAAGGAGAGAAAGGTGCCCCTGGTGAGCGTGGAGACCCTGGGCGTGCAGGGGCAGCAGGTGAGTGATGGGAAAAGCTGGGGCGGGCCTTCAGTCCTCCTGTGTCCACCTGAAGCTGCGGAGGCCTGTCCCTCCCCCATCACCCTGCCAGCTCAGAGCTGCAGCACTGGGCCTTGGGGAGTCTGTGCAAGGAGGTGCCTCACTGGGCTTGAGCTCTGTAACTGGGGAGAGTGCGGTGTGAGCAGCAGGGACAGTCCGCATCCTGGGAAGGCCGGGTGCTGGGTGATGGGACAGTACTGTACAGAGAGGGTGTGTGGCTGGCTATGGGACAGACTGTACTGGGAGGGTGTATTGCTGGACAATAGCACAGCCCATAGGCTGGGAGGGGGAAAATACGGGAAAATGTGTGCCGAGCTCACCCTCCTCTTCTTGTCTGATCTCAGGGCCTGTAGGACGTTCAGGCCCACAGGGACCTCCAGGCGCCAGGGGCTCCCGAGGACTGATGGGGGACAGAGGTGCTCCTGGGGAGAGAGGACCAAAGAGAGAGAGTGGACTTCCAGGTAAGGTCGCCTTCCTTAGCTCTGGGTGCCCCACTAGATTGCAGAGGGAGGAGGCCCACTGCTCAGTGGTCAGCCCATTGTAGGGGAGGCGGGGTGTGAAACTGGGAAAGGCTGTCTGGCTGAAGGTAGGAAGTTGAGGCTCTGGCTTAGACCCTGTACTCAGGGGAGGGCCAGCCTGAGCAGCTTCCCATCTGATCACTGGGACAGCTCAGCTCTCTTCCCAGTTCATGAGAGAGCTGTGAGCACCAAATAACACAGGGATGGGGAGTACTTGAGGGACGTGCAATCCACCCCCCTTTCAGGAATGTGATCCCAGACTCTCAGAATTTGCTGTGAAATGTCATCTGGATCAGAGTTAGTCGGGTGCCAAGACCTGTTCAGGGCACAGTGTGCTCACTACAGAACCTCAGGGACCCAGTGGGAAGGAGGAGCCAGCTGTGTCAGTGGCTGTGGGCTTCCTGGGGACCAGCTCCTTACCCTCCCCCAGGAAAGCCTGTCACTGAGCACCTTCCCCTGGGACCCGGACTCTGAGCCGATCCCTGGCTGTGAGGGACTGGTCTTCCCTGGGCCTCTCTCTCCTGCAGAAATCGCTGCTCTGAGGCGGCAGGTGGAGGCCTTGCAGTGGCAGGTAGGACACCTTCAGAGAGCCTTCCTTCAGTATAAGAAAGGTGAGTTCTGGACCTGGACCTGAACCTGAGCCAGTCACCAAGGGCAGGCCCCAGGCAGGGTCTGTGTTTGGGTTTGGAGTTGGCCGGGCATGAGGCAGGCCTGGGTCTAGGATTGGGGGCTCTAGGATGCTAGTGGGTTTGGACAATGGGCTGGACCTGGGACTGGGGCAGGACCTGGGGCTAAGCATAGGGTGGGGCAGAGCAGGGCAGCCACATGTTCAAGCACCTGGAAGCAGATGCCAGGGACACGGAGCAGGGAGTAGGCCTGACACCAGCTCAGTGGGCTGGCAGCAGCATGGTCAAGGCTACCTGGCTCCAGCCCCCAATATCACAGTCACCTGTGACCCGACCCAGATCAATGCCCCAAGCCCAGTGCAGTTCAGACCTTCCCTACTGCTAACCTGTGCTGGTCCCTGGACACCCCACTACCCAGGATGCATTTCTTATCTCTATGGGGCTAGGTGTGCAAACCCCTCAAGATGTTGCTGCCCAGCCCACAGCAGCAGCGACTCCTGACACTGTCCTGAGAGTTGGGGCTGGGAAGCTGTGCTTGGGATCAAGGCTGTGAGGGTCTGACCTTGGCATGTGGCCATTGAGAGTCTCACCTGAGACAGGCCCTGGGTCCGGCAGGGGGCAGGCTGCCTCTGGGCTCTGCCAGTGCTGGGCTCTCCCGCTGCTCCCTGGGTGATCATGGTGGAGACTCTCCCCCAACCTGGGTGCTGAGGAGTCAGAGGCTCCAGCAGCACAGCCCAGTGCCTGTGCCTGTGGGCATCTCCACCTCAGTCCCTAATTTCCCCCCCTCCTCCCCGCTTTCCCCATGTCAGCTTTGAGCTCAAATCATTCAGCAAATATCACTGATGCAAAGGAGTTTCTGAAGGAGGAGGTAACACAGGGGTGAGACATAGGGTTGGCTCCTACCTACCTAAGGCCACTGAGTACCCACATACCAAGGGTGAGGTTTCAATCATTTAGTATGTTCCCTCTCTCCACAAACATGCACGTGTGTTCACTCCCTTACATACACACTGATGCAAAAGAGAATTCATGATGTCCTTCCACATATGTGTATATTACACACATGCCATCACTCACCTCACATCATCTACACCCACAAGCACACACGCATATTCACACACACACCAGGTGGACCTTCAGTGCTCCCATGTGCCTTCAGATGGACACGTGGCCATGTTCATGTATGCACACACAGACCCACCTGGGTGCATGTAGTGAATGGCAGAGGAACTCCTGTTCAGGGCTGCTCTGGGTGCCCTCCTGAGCCTGTGGAGAGTCTGCCCCCTGAACCCTTGTGGAAGGGTCACAGTGAATCAGGGTGCAGCCTGGGCTCCTCACCAGCCCTTTGGGGCTGGAGCACAGCCCTCTCAGGAGCCCTGAAGGCTTCTATTCAAGAACCCAGAAGTCAAAGGGATGGAAAATGAGCCCGGCCAGCGTGGCCCAGTGGATGAGCATTGACCTATGAAAAAGGAGATCATGGGTTGACTCCTGGTCAGGGCATGTGCCCGGGGTATGGGCTTGATCCCCAGTAGGGGGTATGCAGGAGGCAGCCAATCAATGATTCTCTGTCATTATTGATGTTTCTATCTCTCTCTCCCTCTCCCTTCCAATAAAAATTTATTAAAGCACACACACACACACACACACACACACAGTTAAAGGGATGGAAAATGAGATGGACTGAAAAGTGATGTTGAATGTCACACAGGTGATGCTTTTATAAATTGTATTCCCATCTTAGAGATGAGGAACTGGAAACCCTGAAAAAGGAACTGACTTTCCCTTGTCCACCTGGACAGTCATGGCCAAGGCGGGGCTGAATACCTGGCCCTCTGACTCCCAGACAGGCCTCTCTCCAGCACTGACTCTCTCCTGCCCCTGACGCCCATGCACACCTCTCAGCTGTCCTTGTCCTCTCTCCCAGCTCTCCAGCCTCACCCACATGCACACCTAGAGACCAGCACTGGGCGCACACAGTGCAGAGATTAGCACAGCGCTGCCCTCAGATGGCCCACCCTCTCCTCTTCTTTCCCACATCCACACCCGGCACAGACCTCCCTGTCAATGCCTCATGCCCTGCTGTTATGCAGGGTCCACAGTGAGATCAGAGTGAGCACCTTCCTTGTTTCCAGCTCTCAGAGGCTGCACGATGCCAAAGCTTCCCAGTCCTCCCAGTAACTGGGAAACCGATTCTGCCATGCAACATGGGTGCAATAGAAAGAGCACGTCTCAGCTCTAGTGTGAGATCAGATAAAGGTGCCCCTAGCCCCCAACCTGACTGTGCTCTCCTCCTAGTGGAGCTCTTCCCCAGTGGCCGAGATGTTGGCCAGAAGGTCTTCAAGTCAGCAGGCTTTCTGAAAACTTTTTTTGAAGCACGGCAAGTGTGTGCACAGGCCGGGGGGCAGCTGCCCTCCCCACGCTCTGCAGCTGAGAACCACGCCTTGCAACTGCTGCTCGATGTTGAGAACAAGGGTGCTGTGTTCCTGAGCATGACTGACTTCAAGACAAAGGGCTGGTTCACCTACCCAGGAGGGAAGCCCCTGGTCTATTCCAACTGGGCCCCTGGCGAGCCCAACAACGATGGAGGCAATGAGCGCTGTGTGGAGATGTACACCAACGGCAAGTGGAACGACAAGAACTGTGGAGTGAATCGCCTTGTGATCTGCGAGTTCTGAGCCCTCAGGGTGGGTGGGGCAGCCGTGGTGCAGGAGCCTGGCCCAGACCCTTGTGCTGCCGACATGACAAGGAAGAGCTGATGGCTCTGTGGCCGGGCTTCTGCACAGAGACGTGGGATGAGGCCAGCCAAGGTCTCCCATGGAACTCCTCTCTCAAAATAAAATACGAAACTGGCTTCACTGCCTGCTCTGTCAGAGGAAGAAGGGCCAGCTTGCAATCTCAGTTGTAAGGGATAAAATTAGTCCCCAAAATCCAAAGGCTCCTTCTCAGCCCTCTGCCTCCTCAAACTGTCAACCCAGCAAGTCACTCCCTCCTCTGTCACTCCCTCCTCTCTCACTCCCTCCTCTGTCACTCCCTCCTCTTGCTTTGGTGTCCCCTTATGGCAGTTCCTTATCTTCCTCTTTTGCTAGCCCCTCCTCCTCTTCTTGACCAGTTAATGGTGACCTGCTCAAGCCTTAGCTCTCCGTTCTCTCCCCTCCTCACCCTCACTCCAGGGATGAGCTCATTCTGTCCAGGGCTCAGATCCCTGGCACCCACATTACATGCCTGCTCAGAACCTCCCGGAGCCCCAGACCCCTTGGCCAATGCCAACTGGAGCCCCAGGGCTGGGCGGTTCCTGTGGCTGCTCCTTGTTTCAAGCCTGAGCCCTGGAAGATGCACAGCGCTGTGGGCTGACCTGGCAGGTCATCTGCCTCCCTGGCAGGACTGTGTGGCCCAGTTGAGTAGCCTCCTCCGCATCCCTGCACACCAGGACCTCATTCTACCCTGTCATTGTGACTGCCTGTTGGCTCATGGGAGGGGGTCCCACCTGCACAATCCCCATTCCAGCTGAGACCTCAGGCACAGAGGGTCTAGCCACGCTCAGGTTCACACCCAGCATTGCCCTGGCCTCAGTCCAGGAGGTTCTTCCCCCACACCGCCTCAGGGACAGCTGGGCAGTTCCTCCTCCTCATCCCACAGAAAGGGTAGGGGGGGTTGGGTTGCTCAAGGCCCCAGGTGTGTCAGTGCTACAACTTGGTCACGTGAAAGGTCATCTGATTCCAAACCTTATATTTCTGGCCTGTCAACTTTTAGGCCAAAGGCCTCTGTATACCAGTTGATTTTAATGACACTTGTGCTTAAGAAATTGGAAGGACACCTGGATGAAACACAGGCTCATAGGAGAGGCAACAAGACAGGAAAGCAGCCCTCCTTTTTCCCCAGGGACCGGAGGCCACACCCCTCTTCCCAACACTCAGCAGCCACACCTCAGATGTAGGACAGCAGGTCTGAAAGCAAAAAGCCACATGTAATAACCATGGTGTCAGATGGGGACGAGATTGATCAGGATGATCACTTAGTAAGTTATGTAATGACTATCCACTGGGATGTACACCTGAAGTTAATATCACACAGTATGTCACCTATAATTTAAAAATGGAAAATAATTTAAATAAAGTGATTATTGATGGGTTTAAAAAAAGAAAAAAAAGGAAAAGAGCAACCACAGCACACAGCTCAGTCTCTCTGCTGAGACCTTCTTCCTGTTACTGGAAAAAAAAAGCCCCAAGTCCTGGCAGCTTCTGAAATATGTCAGTTATGCAACAGGGAGCAAATAATCTTCAATTCAGAAGTGACAACTAGATACCACCCGCCAGGGAGCTTAGAAAGGTATTTCATTTCAAACAAAAAGGGAAAATTCCAAGGAGGCATTTTTTCTAAGAATGAAGAGTTCTGAGGTGGCTCAAGGACTGCGGGTGCACAAGCAGCGCTCGCGGTCTCCCTGCTTCTGCCTCTGTGCATCCTCGCCTCTCTTCCTCCTTCTCCCACCACCTTCTTCTGCTTCAGGCTCTCAGCTGCCCAAGCACAGAGTCATGTGTCACACAGAGATCAGAAACACTTGCTGGATATCAGGTCAAAATTCCTGTGGAAGTGAATCTGCCTGTCTCAGATGCCCACCTCTGGCCCAATAGACTAGGCCTGGGGGTGGACCCCACAGCACAGTATGGCCATTGGGACCCATGGAAGGTCATGGTGGTCTGGCAGTCCCTCTAAAAGTGACCACTTCCCATCCCAGCACGTGAGGCAACCTGTTTCTTTGACAAAAGTGGAGGGAAATGGCAAAACTGACTCAATAGGGAGAAAAGACGTGTCCTGTGGGGTTGAAGGCCAGGAATGTGGAGACCCCAGGCCCTGGGAGAAGCTTTAGATCCACCTCAGCACGGGGTCTGGTTCGCTCTACAGCACAGAGAACAAGTAAGGAGGGTCATTTGGTTTCTGTAGACACAGAGTAGCCCAGTGAAAACCAAGGACTAAGGCAAGTATTTCAGAAAATTCAGGTTTTAAGCCTTTCTTAGCACAGAGACCTCTCCTACACTCACATTCATGGGCAGAGGTGAACACTGACATTAAACAGCATTAGCCCTGCCCCACCCATAGTAGCCTTGATCCCTAGTGTAGTAGCCTGGGTGCCAAGTGAAGCCAGGACTGGGTGACTCTGACCTCTCAGGAGATGCTATGACCCTCACAGTGCCAGCTGACATCCTGGGAGCAGCCTGGGGTCCTTCCACGTGGGAGGGTGACAACCACAGCAGCTCCATGGGGAAGGCCCTGCTCAGTTCAATAGTATAGTCTCAGATCACCTCCTGGTTCTCAACCTTCTTGCTACTCAACCAACCCACTTCCCATCATGAGCTGACAGTGGGGCGCACTCTGGTGTTTGCTGGTGTTAGGCTCTTTTATCTTTGTCCTGAATTCCCTCGACATAAAACACCGAGAACTGAGTTGCTTAAGTTCAGGGCATTCTCAATCACTCTTATCTTCCGGATATCCTTAATTCAAGCTTAATGG